AATAAGTCTGAATGTACGAACTGCGAAGGGAACAACGAGGGGCTGAAAGCTCAGGAACAATTGAGTACTCCTACCGTTTAACTGGAATTTCAGGGGTTGTTGTTACCCCATCGCGGCCTTGAGTGGAGGTAACAGTTCGTCAGGCGATATCCAAACAATTCCTCCCCCCCCCCTCTCTCTCTCTCTCTCTTTCTTCAATTTCATGGTAATTGTGAAGGGCAGGAGGTTAAACGACACGTTTCTGGATTGGAGATTAAAAGCTCAATCATCAGTTTGTGCTAAAGCTTTGTTTTGACGTGGGGTATCGGAAATCATTGATGATTGACGATGAGGCGTTGACAGGGGGCAGTTATTGGGTATGAAACTTCATTCGTTGATTTGAGCTTTCGTAAATAGAAGCTTAAAAGCTCAGGGACAAACTTGATCTAAAATTTTTGCGAAATGTTTCACTTTAACGAACTATAGCCTACCGGAAATTTAAGTTTGTTTTGGGTTGACAAAAAGTGGTGAAAAAATCTGAAAGATGGCGTAAAAAATTTGTTCAAATTGTAAAAACGGCATGAAGTGAGTTGAGGTTAACCTGAAGACGATAAACGATAGACGTTTGTCGTCTATCACTCACTCACGTCTTCAAAAAATGTTTGAAAATACGAGGTGGCGCCATCGCCATTTTGAAAGCCCCTATGGGTTGCTAAGCAAGATGGTGGCGCCCACATTTGTCCACCACCTCATATTTTTGAACGCATCTCGAAATTATTTATCCTCATCGCATCATCTTCAGTTCATTTAATCCGGTTCTTACCAAATGAACAAATTTTACAAGCTATCCTTCAGAACTTTTAATTCCTTTTTCGCAGAGAATTAATGGCGTAAAGTTTTTCTAGCATTTCAGTAGTTGCTTTTACACCTGAAGCTTTTTAATTAAAAATAAATTGCTGCCGTTTAGTACTTACCAACTGTTTCCGTAAATTAATTAAAAATAAATAGTCCCCTAATTTCCACGAAAGCTCAGTCATTGTAAGTATATCGGCCACAATTTCAACAAATACCAGGTGGTAATCCACCCGTTAGGAAAACTCAAGCTTAATTAGAGCTTGATGAACTCGACGAACTGTAACATTCGCCAAGTTCCCGCATATTCAGAGGACAAAAGGTCAAAGGCCGAGACCCCTTCAACACCCCAATAACACGAAAACAAACTACTGCCACTATTCTTTGTCGAAATATCCTGAAAAACTCATGGCGTTGGAGTTATTAAATTCAAATGAAAGTGGCAAATATTTGAAATATTTATTTCGACCCTTCGTGATGCACGAGTAGTGTCGAGGAGCAATGGCTGGCTGTGCACCAGACGCCATCGATCTTCGCGTCCTCCGCACTACATTCACTCGCTTCTCTTTTTCACTCCCTCTGCATCACCCTCTTGTGAGTGGGATACCTCATATTTCTCCCCACGAGATGGATAAATAAAATAAAAAACAATCACTCGTGGAGTCTAACTTGGGTGGGAGGACTTCAGGAATAGCGATTTCAAGGGGCCTCGGAAGTAAAAAACTACAGAAATGCAGGAACAAACCTTTGCGCCACGAATTCTCAATCCCAAAGGGGATGAAAAAATTCGAAGAATAACTTGAAAAATTTGTTCATTTTCTAGGAACTGGGTGAAATACATTAGAGATGATCCGGAGAGGATAAATAATTTTAAGGTCTGTTCAAAAATATGAGGTGGGTGACTCGTGTGAGCGCTGCCGTCTTGCCTGGCCCCATCTTACTCTGCCGGAAGTGGTTTTAAAGATGGCAGCACCTCCACCTCGTCTTTTTGAACATTTCTTAGAATTATTTATCCTGTTCATATCAATCTCAACTTATTGCAACCGGTTTTCACGAAGTGAACCAATTTTTCAAGCCATCTTTCAGATTTTTTCATCCATTCTTGCCTGAGAATTCATGGCGCAAAATTTTCCCTGCATTTCACTAGGTTTTTTTTTAATCCCGAGTCATGCTTTTACTCGTAATTTTACTCCGCTATCGAGCTTAACTAATTGAGCTTTTTCCAGGGAAAATCAATGTGTTATAAATCGGTGCCAAAATTACTTGGCGTCGCATCTTCCAATGGCATAAATTCAGTGGAAATATCGACGGAATTTTTTGTTCAACAATGCAAAATCAATTTTTCATGAAAGAATGAGCGGAGTAAAATTTAGTATTCCTGTGTAGATCATAATTTTAAAGTAAAAACTTCCACCTGTCTCCCCCCCCCCCCCCCCCCCCCCCCCCCCCCCCCCCCCCCCCCCCCCCCCCCCCCCCCCCCCCCCCCCCCCCCCCCCCCCCCCCCCCCCCCCCCCCCCCCCCCCCCCCCCCCCCCCCCCCCCCCCCCCCCCCNGCCCCTCAATTGATGCTAGTTCTACCGGGGAGTGGGTTCTGATTACCAGGTCCGTATCACCACGCGTGGTAATCACAACTCAACCCCACCTCCACTTTCTTCGACGACTGAGAGATGTGTGGAGAGGCGCGGCACACTTTTTTCAACCCCTCGCGCATATTATCATTCAATTAATCCATATACACATTTATTAACTTAAAAAAAAGTATTTAAAAAAAAATTAAGCAAAAATATGAGGAAAAAATTAAAAAATACGCGCAAAAAAGATGATAACAGGAATATGAGAAAAAAGTGCGGGAAATGGAACAAGAAGATTTTTCAATTTGCAATATTTGCAATATGAAAAAATTCAACAGAAAAATCTGGCGAATTCGCTAGACAATTCTATTGGATTTCTACTCAACTTTCTATTAGTTTTTGGCCGATACTATTGAAATATTCAATAGAAAATATTCTATAGAAAAATTCAAATTAATTCGATTTTTCTATACAACTTATTCTACTGAGATATTTTCTATGAAATTTTCTCGACCCAAATTTTCCAAGTTTTTTGTTTGATTTTCTTGATGAGAAGAACATAATAGTAGAATGAAAAAAACTTGGAAAATTTGAGCGGAGAAAATTCTACACAAAATATCTGAAGGGGACAAGTTATATAGATAAATCGAATTCTATTGAATTTTTCTATTGAATATTTTCTATTGAACATTTCAATAGAATCGGTCACAAACTAATAGAAAGTTCAATAGAAATTCAATAGAATTTTCTAAAGAATTCGCTAGGTTTTTCTATTAAATTTGTTCGCACGTGTTCCCTTCCTCCCATGCGATGGGACAATGTATCGCAAAAGCATTAATAAATTAAATTGAAAAAATTATATTAAAGGGAAGGGAACAAAATGTACAGACCCGAGAGGGTACACATATGGATGAATAAATAAAAAAAAAATATGAAGACACGCATGAAAAAATTCAATAGAAAACCTAGCGAATTCACTAGAAAATTCTATTGGAATTCTATTGAAAAATTCTATTTGTTTTTTGCGCTTGTTCTATTGGATATTCGATAAGAAAAAGTCAGACTTCGAATTTATGTTTGGAATTTTCTCTTGAGATTTTTTCTATAAGAATGCTTCGGCATCAATTTTTCAAGTTTTTTCCACTCGAATTCTGTAATGCAAAATAAAACAAAATCCAGCAGAAAAAACTTAGAAAATTTGTGCCCAATAATTCTAATAGAGAAAATCTCAAGAGAAACATTTCGAAATCGAACTCAAGAATTTGTATGATCAGGATTCTCTCTGTGAACATGAGGTCATGTGTCAAACAAAAGTGAATAAATAATAATAATAATAACAATAATAGTAATAAATAGGTTTTTGTTAGAAGGATGAGTCATATTGACGGTAAAACAGGCATTGTTCTCGCCGACAGTTCGCAGTAGATGCTAAATAAATGATCTGTCAAATGACTGACAGCCTGAACAATAATAAAGAAAGGAGAATGTCAATTCAGATAAAATGAAAGAAATTTATGAGTTTTTAATTGGATGCTAAAAATACAGTGACTTGGGTGATATTATTGGAGAGTATATTGAACTTTGACTCACCACATTCCCCGAAACGATGTTAAAAACAGCTGAAGCGATTCAGCGATAACGCCTGAGTATTCGGAAATGGGGAGATTAACTGGAATTTCAGTTGCAGGCCATCTTCCGCTTCGTGGGTATACCCGATGTGGGTTATCGATAACAGGGAATTCTCCTGAGGCTAGTGTTGGTGAAGTCGGTTTCATTTCTTCGAAGAACTTAGCAAATTCTATAGAAAAATCTAATGGGTTTCTAGTGAAAATTCTACTAGTTTTTTATTCATTCTCTTGAAGAATTTCGCGAAAATTCGCTCTATTGCGCGAGTACTACTCTATAGAAAATAATCTGCAGAATTTCATATTTCTGTAGAACTCTTTCTATTGAGGAATTTTCTATAGAAATTACGCAGCAGAAATTAAAACAATGATTTTCAGGGAATTTTTATTTTTTTTTTATTTTAAAAAAACAAACAAAAAAATGAAAAATTTGAGCGGAGGATATAGAATTTTAACTCTATAGAACTTTTTAAGGAATTCTCTATTGAAATTCCTCGATAGGAATTGAAAACACAGATTTTTAGTGAATTCTTCGGTTGTTTTCATTTGAAAAATCAAACAAAAAAATTGGAAAATTTGAGACGAGCAATGGCTATAAAAAGTATCTCAACAGAAACAGAAGCTGTTTAGAATATGATTAAAAATTCTACAAGTTGTTGGTTGATTTCATTGAAAAATTCCCCTTGTTTTTCTATAGAAAAAATGAATAGAATCCGATTTTTCTATACAACTTTCTCTACTACGCAATTTTCTATAAAAATTCTTCGACATAAATTAAAAATTTTTTTTACCCGATTTCTTCAGTGAAAAGAATTTTTTAATACAGAAAGTTATCTAGCAAATTCGCTAGGTTTTTCCATTATTTTTGTTACATTAGGGGGAATTCTGTATATTTTCTTCAGTGTTTCATATGAAATAATAATTCATTTATTTATATCACCAACTATATTTGCAACTTTGATAACAAATTCAAATTGAACTAAAAAAAACTTTTATTTTCGCCGAAATTTCATACTTCACACAACATAAAAAATTGACCCTTGCTATTCGACCACTTAACATGCAATATTCCATCATTTAAATTCAATCTTATTCCCATAAATATCTCGTCTATCAAGAAATTCCCCCGATTCAATCAGGAATGAAAATTTCAATGACCCTATTAAACCTTCAATTTATAATGAGAAAAAAATCACTAAAAAAATCCAGTAATCGTGGAACTAATCTTCACCTACCCTTGATGTCCCTTATCATCGAGGGAAAAGGCGAAATGAATTATCTTGGAACGTATAAAAAGCCTTTGAAAATATTTTCCAACGAATTATGATTTTTTACGAATGTGTTTCTCATTGAACTCCTCCAAATCTCATTTGTCCTTCTTCACGGGAGCGAATTTGGAGGCTCCGATTGCACCTTTTCTGCCCAGAGCATTCGGAGAGACACTCCTGGGAGATGCACCAGGTGTACCAACTTTCTGCCCTAATCCTCCCACAGGAATTGCGCTGAGGGTCTTGTGGATTCCACCGGGGGGTTTTGGCGTCAATATCTTAAGGTGCGGCAGCCCTGGTTTTGTGGCCAGTGGACTCTGACCCTTGGGATCTGGTGAGATCCTCCGTTTTGCTGAGAGAAGTACTCGAGAGTCAGTGCTCGATAATGAGGAGCTTGAGCTCGTTGGGGTGGGTTTATTCACAGCCCTCTTCTGGGTACTGACATTTTTTTGGGCATTGGCTACTGGCAATTTCATACCCGGCTGCAAGTCGATATGATTATTCAATATTTTCAGGGACAATTGATGAATCTGCGTGATGAAATCTATAGCGAAGCGGTTACACTGAGAAAAAAAATTGCTTTTGCCGAGTATATTTACGTACCACAAGTAAATGCATATAAATATCTGTATAAGACGTGTGTAAATTTTCTTGTAGTTAGTGAATATACTTAGCAAAGTTAATTTTTTTGGGTGACAATTGATGAATTTGGTTGATGAAATGAGTAGCGAAGCGATTACACTGAGAAAAAAAATTGCTTTTGCCGAGTATATTTACTTGCCACAAGTAAATATATATAAATATTTGAATCTAAGGCAAATAGCAGAATTTTTGTTAAAAGCTTATTTAAAATGCAGCAAACCATTCATCATTAAAAGTTCCGAGTCTCACTGGAAAATCTCGAGCGACTTCGGGACCCTCGGGGTTCAGGGTGAAATCACGAAGCAAATCGCGAAATATCATCGTCAACGAAAAAAAAACTCTGATTTCAACTCAGTTTATATCATGCACAAAGATGTTAACATGACGATTTAACGCGATACATCGATTCGGCGATTTAACGCAAAGATCGCCATTATTCCTCGAAAACTGAGAAGAGCTACGTCGAGTTGAATCGTTTTACCGCTTCGCTACTGAAATGTCTTTCGCTTTTGATGATTCACCCATAAATATATTATTATTCATATTCATTGAGAGGCTTCAGGAGTGAAAATAAAACAACTGCACACGGTGAAAATTTTGCGCTATGAATTCTCGGAGAAAAGGAGACGAAAAAACCTGAAGGTTGGCTTGAAAAATTTATTCTTTTTTTAGAAACTGGATGGAACGAGTTGAACGTGATCTGAAGAGGATAAATAATTTTAAGGAATGTTCAAAAATGCAAGGTGGGCGCCGCCAAAGATGGCGGCGCCCCCACTTCGAACTTTCCAACATTTCTGAAAATGATTTATCCTCTTCAGATCACCCTCAACTCACTCCATCCAGTTTCTATAACATGAACAAATTTTTTAAGCCATCTTTCAGATTTTTTCACCCTCATTTGCGTGAGAATTCACAACGTAAATTTTTCCATGAATTTCAGGCGTTTTTGTTTAGTCCCGAGGCCTCCAAATAATTCGTCTTCAATCGAATTGAGATGTAAATAATTATTTTGCACCTGCAATGCACTTCCAATGCTCTTTCTGCGGGGGGGAAGCATAGTGGGTGTAGTTTTAGGAACAGCCATCTGCTTGGCGGTAAGAGGAGCCCCAATACTTCGACGTGCAAGTGGTTTTGAAGTCGTCGATTTAGTTGAGAGACTCGCTGGACTTGAACAGACTGAACTGGGCCTGGAATATACGCGTCCTGGGCTCGCTTTGGGCTTCACTATTGACGGCTTCAAGAATACTTTATCTGTAATTTAAACAACTGGGAAATTGCTTTTGTATTGCATATAGTATAATTATTTTAGCTAATAAATTAGGAACATCACGAACGAAAAAATTTAATAGAAAAACCTATCGAATTCTTTAGAAAATTCTATTGAATTTCTATTGAACTGTTCTATTAGTTTTTGGCCGATTCTATTAAAATGTTCAATAGAAAATATTCAGTAGAAAAAGTCAATAGAATTCATTTTTTCTATATAACTTATTCTATTCAATGTTTTCTATTGAACATGTCAATAGAATCAGCCAAAAACGAATAGAAAGTTTAATAGAAATTCAATAGAATTTTCTAACGAATTCGTAAGATTTTTCTATTAAATTTTTTCATGCGAGATGCTTTCGAATGGTTATTTTGCACATCGCTTTTCTTCCATCGTGTATAATTCATTGTTTATTTCATGATATTAAATTGAATAAGATTTTTTTGTCAACTAATTCCGTCAGATTTTCAACTTAGTTGAAGGTTATCATCATCATTATTCTTAATATCCCTTTCTTCTATGCAACCGATTATCTTTTTTACGGTTCTATCTCTCCCCTCAGCCCTTCGATAAAATTTTAATAGAAAAATTTTATTTATACGTACTTCAAAGAATTTGATACATCACATTTGAAGAAACCATCAGAAAGCTCACTTTCAGGGAAATTCATAAAAAATTCGAAATTTTCAACAATCATCGTAAAAATCAAATAAACCAATATAGCTATCGTGATCATCTTTCAACTGCGACTTACTGGCATTAAAACAAATATTTTAAGCTATAATTGCACTCATTTAAAGCATGATATTCAAAGATATTCCTGGAATTCTGATTTTCGAAAAACACAAAATTTTTGCAAATTTTCAAATAAATCAAAATAACGATTATTGCTATCGCCTTCATCTTCGGACTCGGTCAAAAGGACATCTAAACAAATTCTTTAAGCCATCATTCAATCAATTCAGAAAATTTTTTTAGTTATCGATTTTCGAAAAAATTCGGAAATTAAAAAAACTAATCGATGAATTAAATTTTAATTAATGACGATCGATAGGGCTCAACAATACCTACATTTGGAAAAAAGATTGAATTTCATCCAGTCATTAGCGAAGAAAACAAAATTCAAATTTAAACGATTTAAACGTTTAATTTCAATCATTTCATACGCAATTTACTATTGATAGTTATGAAGGGCTCCAACAGGTGTCTGTTTACTGTTGTGGCTTTCCAAGTTTTTGAGATTTCTTTGGTTTAAGATATTTTCGGCACAACCTTTGAAGAACTGATGGGCTGATAAGTAGAGAATAACTGATTGCCCTGATGAACAACACTTCGTGTGTTCGAAACGTTGGCAAATAGTGGAAGAATTGTTTTTTCTCTTACGATTCTTTCCTTTTCAATCCAAATTAAAATTGCTGTTATGACCGCAAATGGCTGAGGAGGTTGGAGTAATTTGAAAATGAATCGAAACGGTTGGAATAATTTCGGTTTAAATTTGAACGACTACAAAGCTTCCATTCGGGAGCAGAAAAAATTAAATTCCATTGATTTAGTAGCCTGCTTTTAACCAAAACTTGAATTTGACCCAAAGCAAAAATCACTACTAGGGTAAACTGCCCAGTAGATGGACGCCTAAGAAAACCGCCCAGTAGATGGACATTTGTTTTTTAACAGTAGAAAAAAAAATTGATCGAAAAAAAAATTGCCCGTCAGGGGTTAAGAATCACAATAGTTAGTGAAAATTCGAAGCAACAATTCACATTTCAACATTTTTTTGCGTAATTTTCTATCCAAAAGTAGCTCGTCCAACTATAGGGCAGTGTTCATCTACACAGAGAGAAATTTTCTAGAAAAATTCTAGTACGAGTACTGGAAAAAATCACAATCCACCGGTTGTGAAAAATTCTAGTGCTGTTAAGGTAAATTTTCTTGATATTTCTGGTAAAATGTCTGAGGATGTCGGTGAAATTTTCACAGAAAAACGAGGAAAAATTTACGTTTTCCCCAATAAAATGTCTAGTGCCGGCACTGGAATTTTTTCCTGGCCGTCACTTTGCGACTCTTCTCCCGTGCTAGCACTAGGATTTTTCTAACAAATTTCTCTCCGTGTACTGGGTAGCTTACCCTAGTTGAAATAATGATCAACCCTCACCTTGATCAGGCCCTGGAGAAATTCTCCCGTAGAAATTCTGTGCTTTGTCAGCATAAAATTTAATCCTCCTGAGGCACTCGGCGAGACTCAGATTCTCGTCTTCACTCTGGAGGGACACCTGTCCCAGGGAGCTGCACAGGTCGCTCAGAACGACAGGTGAGCTCGATATCTTGGGTGGAGAGGGGCGAGGCTCTGCGTCGCCCTTCGTGTCCAGGTCCCAGGTCTTCTGACGTTCGAACAGAGGAGTCGTTGGGGTGGACGGAGCTCTCGTGATCAGAGGGAGATTTACGATGTTCTGGACACTCATCGATAATCGTCTGTCACTGGGAGCAATCTGAAGAGGAACATTAAGCTCGCTGGAGTTTATTAAATCTTACCCTATCGTGAATTTTTCATCGCGCAAATTTTTTGAAGATCATTTTTCAAATTTTTCTGCAATCAAATCATAATAAAAGCGGACTCCTTTAACTCCTTGACTCCTTTTTAATGAATAAATGAATACCTAATGATAAAAAATAATATGTATAAACAGCGACAGGCATATTCATCAATCATAATTACCGTTAAATTGTGAAGTTGCCAATTTTTAACATAAATCTTAAAAATGTTAAATATTAAATTAACCATCAATTTGTACACCCAAATTTTGAAATATTCTAACCAATAATTTAGGTAGGAAGATCGACGATTATTTCGATAATCGAAAATCAAGTACTGAAAATTTAGAATTAAGTCGTTAAGGGGAGACCGCGGTGAAATTTGAAAGTCTCGGCTCGGCCTTAAGAGCCATTAGACGACTTTTGATACATGAAGGGATATATAAAAAAGTTAGAAAAATTTCGCACCCGAACCGTTTTGCCCCGTATATCCACCAAAAACGTCGTTTTTCACGTTTTTAGCTTAGAAATGCCCCTTGTACCACAGTTTCCATCCGATTTCAACTTTTTTTTTTTAATGTGCGCTATACTCCAACGAACAAACCCAAGTATCCGTTTTGCTTTATATTTATCAGATCATGAGAAAATGATTTTTTTAGTTTCTATTTTTTTTCCTCTTCTTAGCAAATGCTAAAATTAGTTGTTCTTCGTTATTCCACGTTGTAATCATACGTAATCGAAATATTATAACAAAAAAAAATGGGCGGAAAACAACGAATTTTAGCATTTGGTAAAAAGAGGAAAAAAATGAAAACTAAAAAAAAAACATTTTCTCATGATCTAATAAATATAAAGCAAAACGGATACTTGGGTTTGTTCGTTGGAGTATAGCGAACATTAAAAAAAAAAAAGTTGAAATCGGATGAAAACTGTGGTCCAAGGAGCATTTTGAAGCTAAAAACGAGAAAAATGACGTTTTTGGTGGATATACGAGGCAAAACGGTTCGGGTCCGAAATTTTTCTCACTTTTTTATATATCCCTCCTTCATATATCAAAAGTCATCCAATGGCTCTTAAGGCCGAGCCGAGACTTTCAAGAATTTCCGAGAATTTCACCGCGGTCTCCCCGCTTAAGGGGAGACTACTAGGAATTTTAAAAGTCGTGGGTTATTGGAGTGAGACTTTTCATACGTTCAAGATCTATTATAGAGATCTGAAAACGAGTAATTAGTGCAAAAATAGTACATTTTCCACCAAGGGAGGGAAAATAAAGGAGTCGTGCCCACGTACAGAATTACCACCCGAGCCGAAGGCGAGGGTAGTAAGCACGTGGGTAAGGGTTCTTCATTTTACCTCGCGTGGTGAGAACTTTATTTTTCGTCACGGCGTAGGCGGAAAGGCAGATTTTCCTCCCGCGAAGCGAGAGGAAAATATGTCCTTTCTGCCCGCCGTGGCGAAAAAAAATTTTTATTGTTCATTTGCCCGAAAGCGCTTAAAATGCTAAAAACAGTCCGGGGCCTCCAATTTTTGAGCTGCAAAAGATTTTTTTTTTAATTTTCGGAAAAATGTGTGGAACAACAACTACGAGCCAGTTTTTTAGAATTCGACTCCTATACAGCTGATTTCGTTTTTTTTCATATAAAAAAATTCACCACTTGTGTAAAACAATACAAAAAAAGCAAATTTAGCCATGTAAGAGGTGAATTTAAAAAACTAGCTCGTAATTGTTATTCCACATATTTTTCCGAAAATTTTGAAAAAAAAAATCATTCGTAGCTCAAAAATTGGAGGCCCTGGACTGTTTTTGGCATGTTAAGCGTTTTCGGGCAAACGAACAATAAAAAAAATGTTTGTTTGCACTAATTATTCGTTTTCAGATCTATATAGTCAATCTTCAACGTATGAGAAGTTTCATTCCAATAACCCACGACTTTTAAAACTCACAGTAGTCTCTCCTTAACCCTTCAGAACTCGCGCTATAAGCGCCGCACCGCCGTTTTCAAATTTTCGCTTGCCTCTTGCAAAATTGAGCTTTCAAAAAATTGAAAAAATTAGAATGCCTAGCTTGAATCATTTAGAATGGATTAGCAAGGTTCTTATCCGCTGAAAATCCATCAAGGCTACGAAAAATAATAAATTGTTGAGGCTCATACGCAAAAGCGGCGCCGTGCCGCCCAGCGCGAGTAACGAAGGATGTAAAATTTCAATTCCGCTGTTGCTGTTTCCCGCTCGCCACACGCTCGGCGCGTACCTATGAACGTGACAACGCTGCGTTACTGAAAGCACGGGCGGCGCAGCGCTCACCACGCGAGTAACGAAGGTCGGTGGCTGAGCGCGAGTTCTGAAGGGTTAACTAAAAATTGCATTTCAATATTATCAAATATTTTATTCACCATTAATCGGAAAATTTGGTTATTAAATTGTATAATATTTTAAATTTGTTAAATATAGTCAAACTTTGAACAATATAAGGAGAGAATCCTTCTTAATATTGTCACAATCTAATATTATTGGCCATCCTTGTGTATAAATCACTAGTCAATCATGCGCGCGCGAAGCGCACTCCCTTTCCTAGTCTGCGAGAAATATTGAGACGGAAAAAAATAAATACCTGAGTCAAAGTGCTCATGCCCCTATTTCCCTCCCTCACTCGATAAATCTCGGGTTGTGTCAGAGCACGCGTGAAGGACTCGGATTTATCCATTGGTGATGGTGAACGCTCGAGATTTTTAGAAATACTCAGGTTGAGGGTTGAGTCTCTGTTCGGATTATCTCCCTTGGAGTTTATCGTGTTGAGGAGACGATAGAGCACGTCGCGAATCATCGCGCGATCATCCTTGGAGACTGAGGGCAGAAGATTGCTCCCAGTTTCTTCGAATTTATTGATGCTGTCCTGTTGAGAATGAGATGAAGAAACCTCTCGTTTAAATATTTCACAGGAATTATTTTATGAAGGTACCGAAATTAAGAGGCCTCGGGATTTTAAAAAACTGCTGAAATGTGGGAAAGACTTTGCGCCGCAAATTATGAGCCAAAAGTTGATGGAAAAATCTGAAAGATGGCTTTAAAAAATTGTTCACTTTATAGAAAGTGGATGGAGCGAGTTGAGGGTCATCTGAAGAGAATAAATAATTTAAAGAAATGTTTAAAAATACGAGGTGAGGGCGCCGCCATTTTTGAAGCCCCCGGCAGTAGAGGGAGAGGGTATTCAAGCACAATGGCGGCATCACATCTCATTACCTCGAATTTTTCAAAATTCCTTAAAATTATTTATCCTCCTCAGATCACCTTCAACACTTTTCGTCCAGTTTTCTATAAAAATAATATATTTTCCAAGCTGTTCAGAGTTTTCCTTCGTTTTTGACGGACAATTCATGGCTACTCCCGCGGCTTCTTGAGGGGTTTTGAAAAAAATATCAGACTTTTTTCGAACATATTGAAAATATAAATTGTCCAAAAATAAGATGCAAAGACACCCCCGGGACAGCTACTTCCAACCATTGAAATAATTTCCCTAAATTTTCTGCACACGCACGAAAAAATTGAATAAAAAAACCTAGCGAATTCGTTGAAAAATTCTGTTGGATTTCCATTGAAGTGTTCATTAGAAAATATTCAACAGAAAAAGTCAACAGAATTCGATTTCTCTGCATAACTTATTCTCTTCAGGCATTTTCTGCAGAATATCCTCGCCTCCAATTTTCTAATTTTTCATCATTCTATTTTTCATTTCTTCCCATCAAGAAAATCAAACAAAAGACCTTAAAAAATTTGAGCCGAGCAAACTCCATAGAAAAAAAAAATTAACTCCATCTCAATAAAATAATTATCGAAAAATCGAATTCTTTTGCCTTATTCTGCAGAATATTTTCTATTGAACATGTAATCGGCCAAAAACTGATAGAAATTTCAGGAAAAATCCAATAGCATTGTCCAGCGAATTTGCAGGGTTTTCCCCTGAATTTTTTAATCCGTGCAATTTAAAAAAAAACTGCATTCCATACACAACTTGCGGTGGGAGCTGTACCACAAACGCTCCAAAGGGACGCATCCCTGGCGTCCTCCGGCCTCAAGCACTGACAATTGACATCATCCAGTTCCAAAACAGCCCTCATCCTCGAGCTCCCGCACTCCAGCACAATTCTCATCGAGTTACTCTTCAGTTCATCCCCCTGATCATCCCTCTTCTCGTACTCCCTCAACTGACATCCCAACGCCTGCAGGAGGCACACCACGTTGGACACGTCGGGCTTCTCCGTGATCTAAAATGATTTCCAGAAGAATTTTCCAATTTTTTTTCCTTACAAAATTTTGCAAACAATTTTTTCCATTTTTTAAATAATGACCTGGTCGACATTCCCGTAACACCACTTGGTCGTCCACTGGAAAAATCTGTGCTTCACTTTTTGTGATGCTATTGAGTGCTCGATGGGACCAGTCACGTCCATTTTGATGCGACAACTGAACCGTCTCTCTGCAATTATATTTTCACCTTGCGAATTATCGTGTTTACATTTTGAATTGAGGAATCCTTTTTTTTAAATTCGATCAGGCACGAAGTGGTCGAACTTACGGAGATGTTCAGAATGAAATCGTTTGAATTCGCTTCATGAGGAAATTATTTATGAATGAGATTTTTTTTAATTGAACAAAATTGTTTGATTGTAATTGTGATTGTTTTGGTGAAGTTATTGTTGTAATTTTGTTCGATATTTTTTGAATGGAGTCTGCTTTATCGAGCGAGCGATGAAGTCCGCGGTCTAGAGTTTTCGCGTGATTTATGGCCGCGACCCTTGACGGTGTTTCTGGTAAAATCCGGCTTCTGAGCTCCGATATTTCACATTTTCCGTATTTTTTATATTTTGTGGGGAGTGAAGACTTGGGAAGATGCTGGCAGCGAGGAGAGCTATATTTTCGGCGGCTTTGTGAGTTTTATCGTCGGTTTTTATCATTTTGTCTTTGGAATTGATGGTTTGTTATCAATTACATAATTTCTTAACCTCAAAGGAAATTTGAAAAGACAAATTTTCACGTTTTCATGTCTTTCGCAGTGAGAATTGCTATCAAAAATTAATTCATCGATATTAAATAATTATTGAAATGATGAATTATTTATTGAAGACGAATTAAGTTCCTAAAATCAATGGGTTTATTGTCAGGGGATGAAAAAATGACGGAGTAGAAAAATCATTGGGTGCTATTTTGTAAATATTTTCGGAGTGAAGAGGTTTAGGAAAAATTGTCAAAAAAACTTTTTTCCAGGGCTTGAAATTTTCTACAAGAAATGTTTTCTGACAAATTCTCGTAGTGCCCTTCAATTCGGAGATATTTGCATAAATAAAGAAAAAAGATGAGATATTTGCAATTAAAAACCTTTCCAAAAATGATTTCAATTCTGTCTATCTCGTATTGATGTTGTATTTATAAAAAAATCATTATAAATCACAATAAATATGGAGTCATTAACATGAAATACTCTTCAAGATAATGAATTATTCATTAAAGGCGAATTGAATCCCTAAAATCAATGGGTGCATTGTCAGGGGATGAAAAAATGACGGAGGAGAAAAATCATTGGGTGCTATTTTGTAAATATTTTCGGAGTGAAGAGGTTTAGGAAAAATTGTCAAAAAAACTTTTTTTCAGGGCTTGAACTTTTCTACAAAAAATGTTCTCTGACAAATTTTCGTAATGGCCTTCACTCCGGAGATATTTGCAATTACAAACATTTCCCAAAGTGAAACGAAAAATAATTTCAATTTTCTCTCGTATTGATGTTGTATTTATAAAAAAATCGTTGTAAATTAAAATAAATATGGAGTCATTAATATGAAATACTCTTGAAGATAATGAATTATTTATTGAAGGCGAATTAAATCCCTAAAATCAATGGGTTCATTGTCAGGGGATGAAAAAATGACGGAGTAGAAAAATCATTGGGTGCTATTTTGTAAATATTTTCGGAGTGAAGAGGTTTAGGAAAAATTGTCAAAAGAACTTTTTTCCAGGGCTTGAAATTTTCTACAAGAAATGTTTTCTGACAAATTTTTGTAATGGCCTTCACTCCGTAGATATTTGCAATTAAAAACATTTCCCAAAGTGAAACGAAAAATAATTTCAATTCTGTCCATCTCGTATTGTTATTTTATTGATAAAAAACATTTAATCGTCAAATCAGCTTTAGGAGTCATCTTCCTCATTGACTCCACTCATTACATATGTCTTGATTGCTCCAAGCGATTTGCAATGACTTCAAAGAGATTTCAAACAGATGAAAATTTCTTATTAAAATGAAAAAAATATATATATTTTCATTCAGACGCACTAAAGAAAATGTTGTGAGGTCGAAACACACTCTCCCAGACCTCCCCTATGACTACAAAGCCCTCGAGCCCATAATCTGCGCCGAGATCATGCAACTCCATCATTCCAAGCACCACGCAACCTACGTGAACAATCTCAACGTCGCCGAGGAGAAGTTGAAGGAGGCTGTGGTCAAGGGAGACGTCGGCACCCAGATTGCCCTGGCCCCTGCTATCAAATTCAATGGGGGTGGACATCTCAATCACTCTATCTTCTGGTGCAATCTCTCACCTCAGTCCAGCAAACCTGATCGTGAGTGGCTTCAACTGATTTATGATTAAAAAAAAATCCAATTAGTGTTGCTTGACTCTCACTTCATTAAGATAATTACGTATCACAAAAGATTACATAATTCAAAATAATACATAATTGATAATTTTTCGATTTTTTTTCAAAAATTTAATTTTTTTCGTTAATTTTTTTGCATTTTTTCTCTTTTTTATTTTTTTTTTGTAATTTGTGAAATTATATAATTCAAAATAATACATAATTCATAATTTTTCAATTTTTTTTTCAAAAATTGAATGATTGTTCAGTGACCCTCAATTGTCAATGAGTTTATATTGATTTTTCACATGTTTTTCTTTACATATTCTTCGATATTTTTCTATATAAGGTAAATGTACCTATGCTCGTTCAGATGTCGCGAGCTATCACATTTTAATCATTTTGACAGTCCCAAGAATCTATTAAGATAGACGAACGTACGGCCATTTACCTTAATATAAATTCAACAAAATAAGAAAATCAACTGGTGAATTTTCATGATTTTTTAATTTTGCTGTTTTAAAAATTTAATAATTGTCCCGCAACCCTCAACAGTCACTGATTTTCTATGAATTTGTCACACGTACTGGCCATTCAGATATTCCCTCCATTTTTCAATTGAAAGAAATTGTGCATATATTCACGGGTGAATATTTTCCACTTCTCTTAATTTTTCCAGCTGCACTCCTGAAAAAAATAGAGCAAGACTTCACGAGCTTCGAGGAGTTCAAGAAACGCCTGTCCGAAGCAACAGTTGCAATCCAGGGCTCAGGCTGGGGCTGGCTGGGCTACAACCCCAAGGACAAAAAACTCCAAATCGCCACCTGTGCCAATCAGGATCCCCTTCAGGCGACAACTGGCCTCGTTCCCCTCTTTGGCATCGACGTTTGGGAGCACGCCTACTATCTCCAGTACAAAAATGTTCGCCCTGACTACGTCAAAGCAATCTTCGATATCGCTAATTGGGAGGACGTTAGCGAGAGATTCAAGAAAGCAGCTGGATGCTGAATTCCACTGACGACTCCAGAGAATCATCAATAATTATTCGTTAGGTTCACAGTGCATTTGGATAGATTCCAGTCACTATAAACTTTTATAAAACAGTGAAGTCGTTCCCTGATTGATGTAAAAGGGAGACGAAGATTTTTTTGTAAGAAGAACAAATTTCTCTTTCAATTTTTTGTTTTTATAGTACTATTGTTGGACTGTATCGATATTGTTCGTATTGATAAATGCATAATCATGAATTTTTTGGTTTTTATTTCCCTGAAATGATGAAGTGGGACTGAATTTTTTAACAGCTAGAATGTGGGCTTTTCTAGGTACGCAAATTACTTTTGTGGGCAGAAAATTTTTTTTTTCAGCGGTTGTTGACATTTTCGATCCTTTTGACCCTTGAAATTTCACCCAAGGGTTAAGAATAAAAGTCTCTAGAGAGTGAAATTTCTGCAACAACCTAAAATTATTTTTTTATTAATTTTCACTCCAAAAATGTTATGAAATAAACTACGGAAATGCGAGGAAAATTTTGAACCATGAATTCTCAGCCAAAGGGGGGCGGAAAAATCTAAAGAATGGTTTTAAAAAATTGTTCATTTTATAGAAACTGGATGAAGCGAGTTATGAGCTATCTGAAGAGAATAAATAATTTAAAGAAACGTTTGAAAGTACGAGGTGGGGGCGCCACCGTCTTTGAAGTGCCTTGCGGCAGAGGGAGGGGGTATCCAAACAAGATGGCGGGCACACCAATCACCTACCATTTTCAAACACTTCTTCAAATTATTTATCCTCTTCAGATCGCCCTTACCTCACTAAATTCGATTTCCATAAAATGAACAAATTTTTTAAGTCATCTTTCACATTTTTCAGTCCCCTGTTAGCTGAGAATTCATACCACAAAATTCTCCCAGCATTTCAGCAATTTCTCCAACCCCCCAACAGCCCCAAGGCATCCTAATTTCATATAAAACACTCTTAAAAAGTAAAAACCCAATAACAATCCATAATCTTTAAGAAAATCGTCCACCGGACGATCACAATTCATGCGAATTATCGAAAATGTAACAAGAGAATTAAGAGTCCTTGGGACTAAAAAAAATACAAAAATTCGGGGAAAACTTGGGGCCATCCGGTCAGCCAACCCCCCAGGCCTCCTAATTCCATACAAAACACTATTGAAAAGTAAAAACGCAATAAATATCTCTGATTTTTGAAAAAAATCGGTCACCGGACGATCAAAACTCCCGCTGCCAACGCATGCGCACGACAATCCCCTCGCCATTGGTCGCTTCAACCACCGGAACCCACCAATCCCCGTCAGATCCATGGGGTAAGGACCCATTGGCCCAGTCCAGTGACTAACGATGTGTCGTGTGTCGTGATAAAACCTTCCGGCGTGTATAAACACACTATTTCCCAAACAATAAACAATTAAACTCCCCCTCAAACAGTCCCTAAAATGTTCTGTGTGTCGAGGTCCCTTGACTCCATGGATTCACGTTACTGAGCGTCAAAATAACAGGTGACTAACCCGATACTCTCACTCTACTCGGTCCAATGTAGCCGAAATCGAAAAAAAAAACAGAGTGAAAAGCCAGAATCACTCCAATTATTTCTGGCAATTGTTTTCAACAATTTTCATCGACCCAGTGAATTCTTCGGTGTTGAATCATGTTGGGGGGTGGAAAATTCAGTGGATTGTGGCCATATGATGCCAAATGTATACTTTGCGTGTATTGTGTGCCGCCATCTTGAAATCATGGCATTTTATATTTTATGGGTCGAATTTTGTTAGTCTAATTTTTTAGATTTTTCGGGATGTCTAGCGATTTTTTACGGTTTCCAGGGGTTTGGGGGCATTAGGTGAGGGCAGGAACAATATTTTGAAGGGGGTTGGTGTCATTTTTTTGTCGAGATCAATTTGGAATGGTCGATGGAGTGGCT